GCATGGTCACGCAGGCAGGCTTCAAAGGCACCGCCACAGTCGATGAATCAGCTATTTTGGCGATCACGTAGCCAGGGGGCACGGCTCCTCCTTGTGCGAACCGCTTGCCTGGAGAATTGTCCAAGTTCGTCATGGCAGGCATGTAAGTCTGCAGGCATGTAGGTCTCACCGGAAGCGTGCTGCAGCTCGTTACACTATACTCCTAGTGAAGATGCTGTGTAGAAGCCACAGTCTCACACAAAGCTGCCTGCAACATGTCGCCACATGCTCAAGACTTCAACTGCCTGGCAAGAGTTGGCTGAGCATCATGTAAGGCAACTGCTGATTCCGCCAATGAAATCATGATGACAACAGCATTTGCAAACCTGCGTGAACAAAACAAGCAGATCGTTTTGGCAAGGTTGCTCCAGCAGTGCGGCTTAAACGAGCGAAAGGATCATGTTATGAAAAAGTCAGGTGTGCAACCACCTCATAAATTCGACAACCGCTTCCCTAGCCAGCAAGTCTGCGCGCCAGGGGAGGGCGTCTGAACTTGCCATCGCCTACAAACACACATCTTCCGTCTCAGCAGCCGCAGGACTTGTGCGGTATTTTCCAAACAACGAAAGGTCCCGTTTACGGGGTCCCTAAAACCCTTGTCTCTCTTCCCCAATAACCAGGGCTAAAAAGTTTCAACTTTTTGTATAGAGACCCAAAAAACAACCCATCGATTGGCTAAATAAGTTGTAAGGATTATAGCTTTCGGGGGTCTGTACTGGGGTGCCCTGCTTATGGAAACCCGTGCTGTGAATCATCTGCAGTTGAGATTGAGGCGATATTATCCTCTCCCCCGAAAAAAAGCCCCTCCAACCCCCCACCCCTAAGAGGCTATCCAGCCTCAGGGCGTTTGGAACCCCCGGCCCCACATGGGAGGTCGCAAATCCTGCAACTGTGGCCGTCGGTGTAAACTGGCACAAATTTGTCCTAAAAAATCCCTTTACTGCCCCTTGCAGAGCACCTCTCTGGCCAGGCGACCCCCTTTCACGGCGGCTGGCCTAGTCCAGCCTGACCATCCCACGTGCGTAGCCAAGGGCAGCGAGCATTTTTCGTCCAAAACCCGCCCCTCCTGCTACAGCAAAAAAATTCAAGGATGCGGGGAGAAGCGGCGAATTGCACGTAAGGACTTACAGTTTCCGACCATGGAACGCAGCCCTGCTCTTTGAGGCAGGTTCTACTGCTTTTCAAGCTTGCGAACTCCCTCACTAAAGGCTGATGGACTAAGCCCAGCCAACCCCCTCCATGAATGCTGGAACAGGCATGCAACAAACACGTCTGAAGTGAGGCTTGCCTCCGTAACTCCCTCGGGCCCCTCGAACTTAAACCCCACTTGTCAACTACATGCCATGACCTATTCGTGCGCTCCGCGCCCCGCCAGCCGAGGCGGGCGCGCGATAGCGTTCATAATTAAACACTCCGCATTTTGGTATGCTACAATATATGGCGAGTCAGGGGAGTGGGGGGTTCAAATATCAGTACTAAGCAATATCCGCGGACTAAGGCTACCAAACTGTGGGTAACTTGTCGGTCTTGGGCTTCGGGTACCCTGTCCAGCCACCGTTGGTAGGACATCAGGAGAGAATCAGTGGCCTTACTTGGGGAATAATATACCGCGACACTACACTCCCAGACAGCTCAGGCTTCGATTTGGGCAATTATATGATCCCCTTAATAATGGAGAATCAAATGGTAAAGCAAATGGAAAATGAAATGGAAACTGGGATTACATAGGGGATTATAGGGGTTATAATCTAAACTCCTAGTATCCCCCTTTAATAACCCCTACAATGCTCCCCTATATAATCCCCTATACAACCCCCTTTAAGGAGTTTAGACTATAGCTCATTTGGGCGTGGGGTTTAGGCCTTAAGGATCTGAACCCAGACTCAGTGGAATGTTGCGCTTTTGGGCTGCGAGGCTACGAGGTAAACTAAAACTTATGAATCCGTGGCTATATACCCGATCTGAATCCTGAATCCACCGGGTGAACCCACCCTGGATATGAAAAAGGAATATCAATGTACATATATGCGTGCTTAAATACGTGTGTATACATATATATCTGGGTGGCACAATCAACCCCCCATAATTATTCACAAATAGGGTGTCTTAAACCACAATGGGGGAAATCAAAATTCTCCAAAAGTACCACCTACGTATACATACCTATGTACGGGGATGTATACGTGTATGCAGGCATGCCAGTTGCAGGGATCGCCGGTCAAAAGTTTAAACTGTGGACTGGCATGCGCATGAGACTTTCTCCACTTCATGGGGTTAGTTTCCAAAATTAAGGTCCCATTTCGGTACACCTCAATATTAGGTGTCGTGCTATAACGTACAACATACCCAAACGGGCCCATATTTATAACAACCCATGGGTCCCTAAATCCAAAACTCCCCTCAAGGGAAATTGAAGTTCCAGAAATGCCTCAGGACTTAGGTCAATCCCTCCTACAGTACCCAGACCTCCATAACCTACCCCTTTTGTTGGATACCTAACTTTGTAAGTAACCAGAAAAAGGGGTAGGGTATAGGGGGTCTAGGTAATAGCCCCTAAATATGGATAATAAGGCTTCAATACATTTACACCAGTCGTTTGTGGTACCCATTACTGGGCCCCCAAAATCCGAAACCCAAAACATACGCAGGACGCGCTTCTTTTTCCGAGCTTCTTGCAATCGATGCTGCTACAAGGCCCGCCAGCTCCTGGATTCGCAGGGTTAGCATGTATAGGGCGGGGGTGAGGGGGTTAATGGGCGCCTATACGTGTATATCTATACCTATATATATCAGTATATATATATATATGTATGCATATTTTTTGTGTGTGCGTGTATATGTACATGTATGGAGAGGTGATGGAAGTGGTTGATAGGGGTTGTCTAAGCATGTGAGAATCCATGGGTAGCTCATCAATCCGCGATAGGGGCCAAATTCCCAGACCTATATTGAACAGAAATGAAGACTACAGTGTGACTACAGGTGCTAAATGGGCTCATGAGAACTTAAAATGTCTTCCGATCCTTAAGAGATGGTGGGGAGAGAATATGTGGACTACAATCATTCCGTAGGGGTGCGCTCCCCCACTCCCCCTGAAGCAACCACAAATCACAATGTTTTCTTCTTAGGGCGAGCTCATCCACTCACGGCGACACATCGTTTGGAGAACCTCTATAGCATGGCGCACTGCCACCTCCCTAGTCCGAATGCAATCCTGTAGGTCCGTAAGGAAAATACAAGGGACACTATTTGGGGGTTTCCTAAAATTAGGGGTACCATTTTAGGGGCCCCTATAATAAGGTCTATAGTATTTTGGGTTCTATATTGGGGTCCCTCTATTTTGGGAAAGTACCATTTCCTGTAATGGCCACTTTGGGAAAAGGAATCTAGATCAACTACCAGATACTGTGCATAGCCAGCATTCGTCTTCTGGCACCGCGCATTCTGATACTGGGCATTTCTTGAAAAGGGGGTCAAGGGGAAGGTTGAGATGTGTATCATTTCTGCATCATGTTGAGTGTCCAATCAGCGTTTGCCTGCAAGATTCTGAGAAATAATCAACATACCCTAGGCGCACCCCCCCCCCAAAGGACGTATGCAGTGTGGATCCCATGGGTTCCCATGTTGGAGGCCCTCATGTGGACCTTCAAAGTTAAGGGGTATGGGGCTAGGGTATGGAAATGTAGACCCATGATGAATAAACCCCCTCCTTTCAAGGGCCTAAATATTAGGATCCCTTATGATAATCCCTATTAAGGGGAGAAGGTTTTTTAAATTAGGGGTCTACATTAACAAGTTCTTAGGTCGACCATCAGCTCTTGCTCCATACCCAGAACCCTGAAAAGATCTAAAAATAGATATCCCCTATATAGACCCATTCTAAACCGTATATAATCCTTATAATTCCCCTTATGGTTCTAGGGGATCTAATTTTTTAGATCCTTTTGGGGGGTCTGGGTGGCTCCTACCTTCAAGGGACATTTGGGCTTCTCCAGGGTTGCCCCTCTGTCCGACAACTTACCCATGGCTCGCTGGGAATGAAGGAATGGAAAATAAAATGGAAACTACTATAGTGGGATTTAGGGTTTAGGGTTTATATGGACTACTATATCTAAAGCCCTAAACCCTATAATGGGTCATACAGGGACTACTATGAGGATCCATTCCCTCATTCCTAGCTAATCAAAGGTAAGAAAAGCCATCAGCCCCTCAACAGTGATGCAACCGGAAGCGCTGGAGTAGGCTTTGTTCTTGTCTGGAAGACCCGGTGCGGCAACTACTAACGAAACTAAGCGTCCTGCATGACCTGACCATACTGAATTCGTACGGTGGATACTAAAAATCCTGCATGACCCTATAACTTTGAAATAATGGTATTATAGTATAGTGAGGTCATGCAAGATTTTTAGTATCAACAGTAATAGGGTGCATGGCGTTCACGTAGGCCTCTCAAGACCAACAGAAGTGAAAATCATGGGCCCACGTGAGTGTTTCTTGGGTCTACAGGCCGATGCTTTAGACTCCTTAACCCTAATATAATCCCTATATAGCCCATTATAGTAGTTTACATTTTCTTTTCCATTATCCCAATATAACCCCAATATAACCCTAATATAATCCCTATATAACCCTGAGTAGTAGTTTCCATTTTCTAGAACAACTGCAACATAACACCAATAAACCCCCGTATTCCTTCCCCCACTCATTTTACATTGATGTCAGAAGACAGAGGGGTACACACAGTTGACGGACACCGAAATGCCGTCCGTAAACGCTGGGCCCTTTCAAGTACCTGAGCCACAAATCCTCACTGGAAAAGAAAATGGAGACTATAATAATGGGGTATATGTAGGGGATATATTGGGGATTATATATGGGATAATGGAAAAGAAAATGGAAACTACCCTACACACTTTAAAACCTCTTAAGCCTGACCTACAGCCCACTCATCGCTAAGCCACCTCGTGGTGGGCGACTGAAAGCACGAACTCGTGCTTTGGCGGCCGCTTGGCGGTCTTCCTGAGCAACACGGCTCAGGATTTACGTTTTAGGGTCTAGGGTTTAGGGTCATAAGATGCACTATAGGGATTACATAGGGATAATGGACAAGAAAATGGAAACTAGGGTGTAGTGTTTAGGGTTTTAAGGTTTTGGATTTAGGAGGGTTTAGAGTTCAGAGTTTGGTTCGGGTTCTGGATTTGATTGCTTGGTGCACGGCGCGTTGGCAGCCGTAGTGGGAAAGAGATTTGGGGAAGTGTGCTGCTTTCTGTAGGTCGAACCCATTGAAGCATTTGTACGGGCCCAATGACGTGTAACTTCTGGAAACTGCTGTTGGTGGTCGACAACCTGAAAAACATGATGCTCTTCAGAAGAACAATAACACCCCCTTCCCCCGACCCCACACACCCTCACAACGTCAAAAACTACATGAAACCAACTGCTGGGAGCCGTATGGATAAGCCCGCATAGGTAAGTGTGCAACCCCCTAAGAGCCACATTTCGCAATATAAAACGCTTACATGGGGGGGAATATGTACTACCAACGGGGTTGGTGGAGCGAAGTGGTGAAAAGGAGATGGGGCTAGCTTCCGAGCAAACCTATAGCCTATGTTAGGTGGACCCCCCACCCAGGAATAGTAAGGGATAATAAGGATTATATTAGGGTCCTCTTGTATTCCTATTATACCACTATTACAGGGTGGGGGGCCCTCCTAAGGCCTATGGCTGAATGAATTAATGTTTTGAGTCATGATATGAGCCATTGTCCAGACTCCTACTATCCCCCTTAATGAGCCCTACATAACTCCCCTATGTTGTCCCCTGTACGACCCCCTCTAAGAAGTTTAGACTACAGCTCATATGGCGTATTGAACTTGGGTTGCAGGCTTGGAGATTAAGAGTTGGTGATTTGGGCATCGTTGAGTTACGCGGCATCTGAGACCCAACCTGTGGCGAAGACAAAGGCTATGCTTTCCATGACTATATTCCCCTTAAGTAGATAGAAGATGGCTCTGGGTATATTATAATAAGATCCCCATTTTCCCCATATTCTATCTACTTCAGGGGGACTATAACCCTAAACCCTAAACCCTAAATAGTAGTTTCCAGTTTCCATTCTCCCAATATAGCCCCATATTCTATCTACTTAAGGGGGACTATAACCCTAAACCTTAAACCCTAAATAGTCGTTTCGATTGTCTTGTCCATTATACCAATATAACCCCATATTCTAGCTACTTAAGGGGAACTATAACCCTAAACCTTAAACCCTAAATAGCCGTTTCGATTGTCTTGTCCATTATCCCAATATAACCCCATATTCTATCTACCTAAGGGGGACTATATTCTTGTAGCAACCCACGAATCTCCACAAGCTGACGTAATCCACTTAAATGTTGAACAGGGCTCTTTCTCAGATACAGAATCGTTTAACTTTGGGTTTAGGGGTGTAGGGTTTGAAGGTTAGGATTTAGGGTTTAGGGCTCTTTGTCAGAGACAGAAGTAGTATTGAAAGTCTCCAAAAATCGCTGACCTCCGCTTGATCATATTTCATGCAACCGTACCTCCCATAATCTTTGTTTGCGCTTCATGAGCTTGTTTGGGGTTGCAGAGTGCAACCCGGAGTCACCACAGCGACATTCCAAACCCAGGCATTCCAAATTCAGACCCCTAAACTCTGCAAACACAAGCTCCCTTTACTGGGAAGGAAGGAAAAGAAAATGGGAACTACTGTAATGGGTTATATAGGGACTACTCTAGGGATCCATTCCTTCGTTCCTTAGCTAACCAAAGGCCCCTTTAAGGGACAGCAGTCTTTGTAGTGTTCCGTGGAGGGGCTGCATGTTGTTGAGTGTGATCGTGTTCGCTAGCCTCAGAAAATCAATGCCCCTGACCCCAAGACCACCCACCCACCCTGCAACCGCACGGTTTAGGGTCTAGGGTTGTGGGATCTAAGATCCCCCGCGCTCCCGAGCACCTTGCAACTCTAAGCAGCCAGCCCTTAAAGCCATGAAGACCGACATTTTTCTGAATGCAAGAGTCCCCGAATTATCCCTGATTTACCCTCCAGCATGGAAGGGTCCCAAACATCAAAGGAATCTTTGAACCACCTGGAGAATATATACCCCGAAATTAAATAGACTAAGCCCTAAACCTGACACCGCTACTAACAAGCCTTCAACTTACTCGTGGTCAGTAAGGAATAGCAGAATATACTCCCTATACACTCCCTGTATGATATATTCCCTTATGTACCCCTAAACCCTCAACCATAAAGCCAAAGCCCCAATGCCAAAACCCCAACCCCCAAAACACCTAAACCCAAAACCCCAAAACCCTAACACCCCTAACCCCTAAACCCCTAAACCCCAATTCCCTAAACTACAACTGTCACCTGAGCAACTCTACGACCCGAGCAGCCAAACGTTCGTAGCCAAATCGAGGACTTCATCGGAGCCAGAGGACAGCAAACCTCGCCGCTGAGGATCATGTCTCAAGAGGTCATACTCTAGGGATTTAAGGTTTAGTTTAGGGTTTAGGATTGAGGGTTTAGGATTGAGGGTTTAGGATTTAGGGATTAGGATTTAGGGATTTGGATTTAGGGTTTAGGGCTGAGGGCTCAGGGATTCAAATAGCCCAATGTACGTAGGATTTACAGCTTTTTGGGCCACTGTAGGTAGTATTTGTATACTTGGATCCTTAGGGATAAGGATTTGCAGGGAAATCTCAGGGGAAATCGGTTTTCTTGGGGTTCTATTGATATACGGGTATATAGGGATTAGGGCTTAGGGTTTCGCAAAATTAGGGGTTCCATTTTTGGGGGATCCCACTCACAAGAAGTTTAAAGTATCTCGGGTCTATATTGGCGTCCCCCTGTTTTTTGAAACGACCACATAAGGATATATAGGAACCAATACGGGGGCGGCCGTAAATCAGGGTCCATTTCATGTGGGTGTCTAGGGGTTATGTGAGGGTATATGTGGATAGGTAGGGTTACAAAAGGGTACATAAGGCGTAGTTAGCCAACCTTTGGAGAATCAAATCGACAAGAATGATGAAAGTAGCATGGAAGCTGGGCTTACATAATGGCTTATAAGGATCAAGGTTTCAGAGTTGCCATTAATGAGGGTCCCTTTTTGGAGGCTCTCTATATGAGGTAAGGAGCAAATTATATTTGGGTCTATATTGGGGTTCAACCCTAACCCTACACCCTAAACCCCACTATGCAGGGACAAAGAGGGATATGTGAACCATAGTCTAAACTCCTAGTATCCCCCTTAATAAGCCCTGTAACATTCTTCTATATAATCCCCTATAAGGAGTTTAGACTATAAGTCATATAGGGATGGAGCCGGAGTCCTCAAGCCTCACGCCGCACATGTTGATCAGGATGCGCATGATCCGTGAAGTAATCACCTCCCCCAATAATGAAGCTCCATCTCCGTAAGGGTAGATTTTTCAATAGCCCTAAACCCTAAACCACAAATAATGTAGTAGTGCCCCTTTTGGTTTCCATTCACCTATACATCCCTCTATAACTCCTTTTGGGGGTGGGAGGTTTACTATCGCGGGAGAGAATTAGGGTGGATAGACAGAAGCCACCGCGCTCCGGCAACTCTGCAAATCTTTGTCAAGGCTTTTATGGGTTCGGGTTTTTGGGTCTTCGGATCTTGGCTTGAGGACTTCAAGGCACCTAGGGTTTGGGGGCGGCAGGGCTAGTGGATTAGAGGTACCCCTAGAGCATTGCCAATGCACATGTGGATCTCTGCATCTAGAAGCTGAACAACCACGCAATTGAAATAGGCTTTTGGCCGCTGGATACCCTCGTTGCGCAAAGTTGGGAAACATTTCCTAAACCCTGCGCCCCAAAGCCCAGAAAGCCTTGAACTCCAGAACTATGCCTTTCATGTAAAGCGTCAAAGACTTGACCCTCAAACCCAAAACCACAGACCCTATCCCGCTAAACCCCCATATACCTCTGTATCCCTAGATACATATGCCCCTTTACGGACTTGAGCTAGCAATCCCGCCTTTGAGAGCATGGTAGTGGGTCATCGGCGCCCACATGTCAGCCTGACGGGTTGTGATCTTGCCCTTGCAGGAACCAAGCGCCAGGACTACATGGGATCATATATATACATATATATATATATGTATATAAAAGGCCGTATGAGGTTATGTAATGGGGATACAGAGGGTGGGATGTTTTAGGGGTTGAGCTTCCAGGCGGATTTTACCTTGAAATCGTAGACCGCAAACCATAAACCCTAAACCCTACCAGACCATAAACCCTTTGGAGAGCCTTCGTAAAGAGGGCTGAGATGTGCGGACGGCCAGCGCGTTTCAGAATCTCGCTGAACTCGGCTAGGCCATGACCTGCATCGTAGGAGTTTAGGGTTTATGTAAGGTTTAGGGCTAAGGGTTAAGAGTTTAGAGTTAAGGGTTTAGGGGGTAGGGCTTAGGGTTGTAGGGTTTAAGGGTTTGGGGTTTTAAGGGCTTGTGTTGGGTTTAGGAATCAAGGGTTAAGGGTTTAGGGGTTTGGGATTCAATGCTTTAGGGTTTAAGGGTTCAGGGCTTAAGGGTTTGTCTGGGGTTTAGGGTTTTAAGGGCTTCAGGTTTAAGAGATTATGTGTTAAGGTTTAGGGTTTAGGGCTTAAGGGTTCAGGGGTTGAGGGTTTCGAGAGGCGGCGTCCCTCCGAAGGTTGACTTTCAGCACGATGGCTCCGGGGTTTAGGGTACGGTTTGTGGTCTGTAAGGTTTTCTGTTGAGGCTTTTTGGGGTGTAGGGTTTATGGGTTCCAAGTTTACGCCGTTTGTTTTTCTGATTCGGGGCTCAGGGTTTAGGGGTTTAGAGTTTTTGTGTCTGCTACTCTGAAAGAGAGAGCTTAAAAGGCCCAGGACAAGCACCGGTTTTGTGACCCACCAAACTCCCTAAACCCTAAACCGGGTAACTCATAGGTTCCCCTACCCCCTACTACCCCCGCCGTACTAGCCCCCTATGTTCCCCCCGTAATTACATCCATAACGGTTGAGGGACTGGGGTCCGAATGACTTTCCAGGGGAGGTCTTCTAACCCTGAACCCTAAATCCCAAACCCTAAAGCCTAAATCTTACACCCTAAACCCCAAGTTAAGTTTAGGTCTGGTTTCAGAGGTTTAGGCTCCATGCCGGGCTGCGAGGGGGCAGAATGGGTGCGATCGCCGCGATTGGTCCCTAGCAGAAGATTTTAGCACTATTCTTTGGGCATCCCCACACCCACGAGCCCAACGTAGAGCACCTGAACCCCGAAATTACTGGGGTTAGCAGGGAATGAGGGAATACAATCCCTTGTTAGTCCCAATATATGACATTCCCGTATTTCCTACAAGCCCAGAGTAAGTAATAGTGTTTTTTTGGTGGTTAAACCCAGTAAGATTATATTCCTTACATGAAATACTATACCCCAAAAGGAGGATATGAACTTACTCTATAATGGGTACCATAGTATCCCCCAAAAAAATACTACTCAGCTGGGATTGGAATTCAATTGAGCTTCTGTCTAAACTCCTAGTAAGTATCCCCCTTAATATCCCCCATGGTAGTCCCCTATATAAGCCCCTATACAACCCCCTTTAAGGAGTTTTGACTGTAGCTCAATTCTGTACCACACGGCGTGGCCTGCGCTCCGCGGATCCAGCCGCGGGCATTCAGTGCGCAGGAGCCCCATGACCATCGACCTGAGGGTTATACAGGGGTTATTGGGGTAATATTAGGGTATATTATTGGGGTAATATTAGGGTATATTTTTGGGGTAATATTAGGGTATATTATGGGGGTAATATTAGGGTATATTATTGGGGGTTATATTGGGATAATGGTGCAGAACAGCAATTTGTAGTGTAACGGACTGGAGAATGTGAACAGTGTTTGGGGTATATTGCCGTACATCCGTCTAAGGTTTCCCTGCAGATAGCCAGCTCAGAGAGCATCTACTTGCTGCATGATGACGGGGCATGGACCCGGGGGGTGCGACAATAGCCACCGATAAGCAAGAATGTGTTCGTTCCCTGCACAGCACGAGATCATCATGTTCCCAGGCTTCTCCAGGTGCAGGCACCCTCTTCGGGAGGATTATCGGGGTCGTTCGTTAAAGACCATACATGAACGAATGGCCAAACTCCCAGTCAGGGTGTAGGTGAGGCTCAGTCAGTGTGCAAGCAGTGCTAGGATAGAGGCAAACTAGCAAGTATTGGATCCAGCACACGATAACCCAGGATGACACTTCAGATATGCAAGGATTCTAACTTGTGGTCCAGCGAAATGGAGACCCATGTAGGTACCTATAAGCCCTTACAAAATTGTGTAAAACTTGTAGAGAAACCCCTTAAGCACCCACCGGAAAACCTCTTCGACCCTCTGTATGAAACTTCTGTAAACCTTCTTGAAACCTTTATACTATTTTATAACCCTGTCTAAATAGCATCAACCATCTATAATTACACCTAACTTAAACCAGGGTTGGGCAACCGGCTAATCATCCTCTATACCGTTGACCACGGAAGCGGGAGAGGGGTGGGTGAATGCTGACGCACATACACTCACCAACACCATTTTGCGCAGAAAAAAATACCTCACACCACAACTGCTTTCCTTATACGGGGCAGCTTTGTTGCACGGGCTGTGGCCTGAGCTGACTCATCTGCCCCCTTAGAACAAAGTCCGCCCATCCTCCTACGGGCATAAAACCCTCAAAAAGCAGTGGCACCAAGTTAGCAAAAAGAGCAGTTGCGTACGTGCATGAACATGCATCGATATGCATTGCAGGGGGCGCAGAGCTCAACTGGATTACTTGCTCTCCATATTCAACATATAGTCACCTGTGGGTAGATAGAATATGGGTTTGGGTATATTATATTGAGATCCCGATTTTCCCCATATTCTATATACTTCAGGGGGACTATACCCAAACCCTAAACCCTAAATAGTAATTTCCATTTTCTTTTCCATTATCCCTATATACCCCCGATAGTCTACCGCATGTTCTATCTACTTAAGGTGGACTATACATATCCAGGGCTTAAGATCATTGCGTCAGAGTCCTGGCGCATGGCCGGGAATGGCGGAATGCATCATGATACTAGCGCTCACATGAGCCGTCGTCTTAACTCCTAGTATCCCCCTTAATGACCCCTGTAGTATAGGGTTTAGGGTCTAAACTCCCAGCATCCCCGTTAACATCCTCTATAGTCATCCCCCCTATATAATCCACCAAATATACTATGATCCTTATTATAGGAAGCCCCAACGAGGTCTTGGCAAGCCCCCAACTAGCACCAGGGAGTAGATTCCAGGATCCGGCCTCCTGTCTGCAGTGTCAAACCCCCTGCAACCGAGAGTGCAAACACCGGTGCCCCAAAGCCTGAACCTTCAACTAACCTTGCATCCTCCACCATACTACTTACTAGGGGCCAATAAGGAATAAGGACATCTAGTTTGTCTGAGAGTTGTATGGGACTTTATTCCCTTCTTCTCGACTCACCCTGGCACCTGAATGTCTCAACCTGAACCTTAAAACCTCGCACGTCAACCGCTGTCATCCACCGTGAGGCCAATGGTGCGGTTGTTGAAGGAACGTGGCGATTGTGGTTTCATGCGCATAGCTACCTGCAAAAGTAGGCGTTAGTTTACGTTAGGGCTTCAGGTTTAAGTTTAGGGTTTGGGGTTTAGGGTGTAGGGTTCTGGCAGATGGTTTGTGGGCAATGTCTTGGTGCAGGGGCCGTGTATACCCCCCTCATATCCCGTTGTGGTATACTGTAATCTATTGGGAACGTTTAGTATTAGGGGTGCAGACTTTAATGTCAGCCCTAAACCCTAAACCTTAAACACCAATCAATGATTGGTATATATCGCTTTGGGTGCGGGGATTTAAGTTTAAGGGAAAGGGAGTATGTTGTGCCTGAACCAGCAACAGTGACAATCATCCTCGCTAACCAAGTCAAGGGTTTAGGGCTTAGGGCTTAGACTTTAGGGTTTAGGGTCTAGGGTATAGGATTTAGGGTTTAAGGGTTTAGGGCTTAGGGGTACACATCGAAAAGGTATACAGCTCAAAGTTCTAGATGTCTATATCATGGTAGTTGCCCTCAAAAGGAGGACCCCCGAGCAGACCACCAAATGCTTCAATCCTTCGTGTGTAGGACCTTTATCCTGCTATTTGCCGAATTTCTTTTGGATTCATTGGCTACATTAGAAAATATGAACTATAGTCTAAACTCCTTAAAGGGCGTTATTTAAGGGATCATATAGGGGATCACTATAGAGCTTATTATTAAGGGGGATACTAGGAGTTTAGACTATGGCTCATATGAATTTTCAATATGAAGGAATCTACGAGCAGGCGCTGGCTGGCCCTCCCGGGGGGTTCCTGCACCCCAGGGCCTCCAAGGCGAACCGTGAACTCCAGACGCCTTTCAAGAAGCCTCGCGCAGAGGCCAACTCAAAAGCCTCCTAGCAAACCTATCAGGGGCATGTCTTGGATCCTAAAAACAAGAGGTGCTGGCTGCAAAGCATTTTCGTTGTTGACTAAGATGGACCTAACTGAGTTTAGGTCCTAAACCCTACTTGTAAAAGGAGTAGGTTTGGGTGGCATGGCCGGCTCAGACGGCGTGGGGTGGGTGAATGTGTTAGATCAGCTACAGTCGAAGCTCCTGGTCTAGTACTCCCCTTAATAACTCCTATAATACTCCCCTATATACTGGTCTAGATATCCCCCTTTGAGGAGTTTAGACCCTAAACCCTAAACCAGAAATCCTAAGCCCTAAACCGTAAAGCCTGATCCCTATATAACCCCCTCTAAGTAAAGCTCAGATTGCCAGCCACCATCTGGCCATGGCTGCATTTCGCCACGGCGGCACTGCACTTGAAGGGTCGTTCAACCCTAATCATCGCTGCTTGCACGCAAACTCAGTGCCAACCCCAAACCCCAAACCCCAAACCCTAACCCCCAAACCCTAAACCCCAAACCCTAAACCCCAAACCCTAAACCCCAAACCCCTAACCCCAAACTTAGAACCCCCCCATGCCTTGCGGAGAGCTGCTCATTATCATCGCCAGGAGCTGTTTGAGCCACCGCGGTGCCGCAGTGGCAGTCCTGATTTCGAGTTCAGGGTATATAGGGTTTAGCGTTTAGAATTTGGGGAGTGGAGTTTAGGGTTTGGAGTTTAGGGTGTGGAGTTTAGGCTTTAGGGCTTAGAGCTTAGGGTTTAGGGTTTAGGGCTTAGAGCTTAGGGTTTAGGACTTGAGTTTTATCTGACGAGGGGACTCTAGTGGCGTATTAGCATGTGCGGGAATTTGGTCCAAAAGGCCACTTGTGTGGCATGTGTGCACATGCATGATTTTCGTTTATGACTGACATGTAGCCCATTAAGATCAACTAGCGAATGAGTTTGAAGCGAAGCCTACATTTACCTGCTAGCTAGTCGCGTGAAGGCACATTCTAGCTCATCTCATATTCTCAATGCTCCTAATGCGCCCATATTACTGTAGTCTCCCAATCTATGTATTAAGCATTCTTCGAAATCACAATGAACTTCATTTCTTCCCAAATTTATATATACTTCGCCAAACGTCCAAATGCTATGCTGTTACCATTTCGCACAATCGCAAAAACTCCTGAGAATTCCCAGCACCGTTTTTCATCCCCAGATATGTGGAGTTCTCCTCCATGTACTCCCAATATCCTGATCTATGATACTATCAACGCTAGCCCCGCCCTCATACTTGCTTTCAATAGACAATCACGAGAAATTAGTTGTTATTCCTTTTCTGTTGTGGTGTAGATGGGTTTAGGGTGACACTCTCTTTCTATAACCAACTTCCCCATCTTTCCCGGGAAGCTGTAGCCCAGGGTCAGCGCCAGGAATCTAACCAGCGCAGATGCAGCCGTCAATCGGAAAAGGAGTGTCTGCCGGCCGCCATAGTCGTACTCCAAGTATCTGCCAAGATAAGAAGGATAGGCTGAAATAGAATGGCATGTCGAAGGCTGTCTATCCATTCATTCACGCACAGCTTGGTAGTCTTGAGTTATCAGTCCCTGGTGCTCTGCAGGTACATGCAGCCACGCGTAAGGGCCAGAGGTTATCAGCAGGGACTGCCAAACAAATGTGCATTAAAGGTTTTTGAAGCCCTGGGGGCTAGGGGTGGAAAGTTTTGGGATTTTAGAATTTCGGGCTGAAGTGCTTGCCAGGATTGCAGGTGCAAAGCTTGATCCTCAGGAGAGAAACCCGATGGCGGGACAGATACGCGATAAAGCTTATATGGCTGGTGACATGTGTGATGCACGCTTCAAAGCTGATCACCTGAAAACGCTCTGCCTCTAAACCTCGAACTCACAAGCCCAAAAACCAAGGCCAAGACTACTTCCTGAATTCTGCAGCATAACACCCTGAATGCTGCCAGGGCGAGTACGCGTCCTCACCCCCAGCATTTTGTTTCACATGGGATCATTCATGCACGCACTCAATTAGCGGCACATACTTGCGACCCAAAGAAAGGGCCCACCCATGCTCATATGGGGCCTAAACCCCCCAAAGAATTAGCACAAGGTGGTGTTGCAACTCAGGTGTTCTGCTTAGGCACGGCATGGCCAGCACAACATGCCGAAGATTCACCAAGAGTTCCTGCAGCTGGTCTGCGTCAGCGTTTGGGCTCCGGGGGTCAAGATTGGTCTAGTGTTTAGGGTTTTGGGGCTTCTGTTTGAAAACGAATCAAAGAGAATCTTATTGTAAGCAGAACTATTTATCACCGCAGCTGAGGTAATTCAAGATACCACTCGGTTACTCTTCAACTATGGTCTGAAAAGCCTGGTTTCAGCTGCAGCCCTAACGTGGGTAGAAGAATGGCTTTCTGGACTGATTTTACACTAGGGTTTTCACACACTCTCTTTACATACCGTTGAGGTCGCTCAGTTGCATAGAACAATGAAAATTCAAAAGGAGGATTTGTCGCTGAGACCCTACGTATTAAGACGCTTGTCTCGCGATGCCCAAGCCAGCATGTCAAGCCGCCTAACCCTAACCCTGAAGGTTCTTAGTAGGGCATAAGGGACTATAATCCCTATATCGTGTATTCCACATTCCTTACTATAACCCTAATATATACACCACAATAATGTAGTAGCTTCCATCTTCTTTTCCATTCTCCGTATATGTATATAATTCATATGTAATATATTCCTTACTAAGAACCGGTAATTAAACCCTTAACCCAAGAACCTGCAATCAAAACGGCTTAGAAGGTTCTCCAGGGTATCTTTTTTAGGTGTCATCCGACTGTTATTACTATTATCATTACGCATTATTATTATTATTATTGCAATTATTATTA